TGGAGCTCTACACGTTATCTTGTTTGTGAGGTTTTCCAAGTCATGTCGTTGGGCAGATCGGTGCCTCTAAGCTCCATTGTGTGTGTTTGTGTGGTTGTTTACCTTGTGACAGAATGGCTGCCAGCCCCGGGCTCCCCTGCCCTCTGCTTCCGGTGCCTCACAAGGGCCCTGTAGTGGATAAGGATACCAAAATAGAAAGATGGGCAAATATAATAACATCCTCTCTTTTATGTTTTCGTGCGTTTGCTCTTTGAGTCAGGTCAAGCCCTGAAGGCTTTATTGTCATACTATCCATATACATACACTGGCACCCACCCCCCCTTCCCCCACCCCCAGGGGCCACGGTGCAGCATATAGTCAGCACTGACAGGGGGAGGTTTTTCACAATGCTTAAGGTGCAAAACACAGGACAGAATGAACCAGGGGGCTGGTAAACGTAAACAGGAAGTAATACAACAGCAGCATAACAGGGTGTAATAAATGTAGGCACCAAAAACTACAAAGGAATAGTAACGATAATAATAATAAGTTAAAGTGACCAACGCCAATCGGGGGGAGGCAGAGAGTAAGGTGAGAAGCAGGGTATTTATTGTCCTGACAGGCTTGGGGAAGAAGCTGTTGCTGTATCTGGCAGATGGGAGCAGGACACAGAGTTTGTGGGAAGGAAGGGGGGGGGGTCTTCCACAGTGCTGGAGGCTTTGTGGCTGAAGTGTTTCTGGAAAATGTCCTTGATGCAGGACAGAGAGACAGGACAGGGAGAGAGGACAGGGAGAGAGGACAGTGAGAGAGGACAGGGAGAGAGGACAGTGAGAGAGGACAGGGAGAGAAGACAGTGAGAGAGGACAGGGAGAGAGGACAGAGAGAGAGGACAGTGAGAGAGGACAGAGAGAGAGGACAGTGAGAGATGACAGAGAGAGAGGACAGAGAGAGAGGACAGGGAGGTTCCGATGATTATTTCTGCTGTACGCACTATCCACTGCAGACACGTGTGCTCTTTGACTTTGCAATTCCGGAACCAGACAGTGATGCAGCTGCTCAGAACACTGCTCTGTATGGAGCCCCCGCAGAACCTGGTGAGGATGAGGGGCGGGAGACCTGCACTCCTCAGCTGCCGCAGGAACTGGTGACGCTGTTGTGCCTTCTTGACTAGAGCAGCGGCGTTGAGATTCCAGGTGAGGTCTTCTGCTAGGTGCACGCCAAGAGATTTGGTGCTACGGATTCTCTCTCCACCTCAGATCCCTCAATACTCAATGGGGAGTGGACAGCCTGGGCCTTCTCTTTCATCTTGTCCACAATGAGAGATACAAATTGTTGCCCTTTGATGTTTGAGCAGTGCTCTGCAGCACAATCATGAGTCAGCAGGGTGAACAGAGGTGGGCTGAGCACACAGCCTGGGGGGCACCAGTGCTCAGTACGGTGGTACTGGAGGGGTTACCTAAGCAGAAGGTCTGGGGTCCCTCAGTCAGGAAGTCCAGGATCCATTTGACAGAGGGGTGATGAAGCTCAGTAGCCGGAGCTTCTCAGTCAGCTCCTGAGGGATGATGGTACTGAATGCTGAACTGAAGGCACCGAGCAGCATTCTTATATAGGAGTTCATTCTGTCCATGTGGGATAGGGCCAGATGTTCAGCCAGGGATGTGGCATCGTCACTGGAATAGCTGGCACTAGGCAAACCAGATAGGGCTGTGTGACACTGCAAATTGTTTAATTTTACTCCTTTCCTGCTGAAGTCCTATTAAAAGTTTGGAATCACTTATCCATCCAGAGTGTCACAAAGGGCAGAAAATAGATACGTTCTCATTGTGCTATTGTTTTGTAAAGATAAAAGCAAGTCTTTCCTTTTGAATGGTGGGAAGGAAAAGTCTTTTGTGGGCTTTATTTGTTATTTATTATAAATTAACATTAAAATGGTATCATTGCAGTGTTGAAATCAACAAAATACAGATAGCATGTCAAAATATTCACGTAATATACGTAATATTTAAATTTTTTGTCATTTTTTTCCAATTTTCTCTGTAATTAGCATGAACACTGCTTTTGTTTTCTATGAAAATGAGTCCATTCAGAACAAAACAATGTCATTCCACAGGGTACACAGAGAGTCTAATGTTTATGTAGCACCTTTTAGCAAGAAACACTGGGCAGAACCGAATCTGTAAGTGTTTGATGCCCCACAATGGGAAGGCTGGTGTTATAATAATAAGCACTCGTGCTTCACAGAGCCAAAATCCAGCCAGTTCACAAGTGACTTTGACAAAGGCCAGGCTCCAGAGAGTATTCTGCCTTTCTCTGTAGGTTTTTAAAATTCTGCTGCTATGAATCACTGGATTTTTGAAATTTCATCACTGCCAGTAGCACCCTGAGATAGTGTTCTAATGACTCTTCATGATACTGTATGTCCTGCAGCTGCAAACTATACAATGTGTGAACAAGTTAATACAAATCCTGGTAGAATGTGCAGATTCAGTATTATTTGGTAAGATGTCCTTACTGGAATCAGCAGCAATAATAAGGGGCAGGAGAAAGCCGACTTAAGCCCAGATGAGACACTTCTCATTCCCTGAAAAGTATGAAAGGCCTTTAACTATTCAGACGACTGCATTAGTAAATGTTAGGGATATTACTGTATGAGAAAATGTAGCAAGTTCTATGCTGTTTTTAAGTTGTTGTAATTTAGGATTGTAATTCAGTATGTTATGTATCCATAAACCCTTTTTGAACAGTAAGCCAATAATGCTTGATCATTTTATCTCATCAGGGGTGGTTCTGGGGGGACAGTGTTCCCGTGACAACATGCATGCCCCCCCATGGCCCCCCTAAATACATATACTACTTGGGTCTGAAATGTATGTATTATTATTATTATTACTATTACTATTATTAATATTACATTAATATATGTTGGCTAAAATTTTGTGCACTGGGAACAGGCGAAACACAAACGTATGCACATTTTCTTGATGGACTCTTGGCGCTAGGTGGTCGAGTGTCTTTGGTTGGTGAAAAATCAACGACAGAAAAAAAATAATCAAGCTGGTGGAAGCAAGAAAGTCTAAGTAAGAAATCAGAGCGAGTTACATATTTGTAAATCCTGTAAAATGTAACTGCAAAGCACTGCATAAATAGCTTACCGGTTTTCAAAATTGTCTTTTGCTTCTTAATGCTAGCAATCTAGTGTAAATAATATTTGGAGGACATTAAAGTCAAACACATCTGGCTCCCCTAACAGAACAACTGAATCAAGTCTGGTCTTCCCAGTTGAAATGGTCTATAACCTCGACTGTGTCTCATATTATTATATTCTGCTACGTTTACAGGCTGGAATTAGACATACAATCTATGCAGTGATGATGTATGAGCTTTTAAGTGTCTCAAATAGTTTTTGATCAAAAATAAATCAAATATTAAAGGTGCAACGAAGAGCTACGAGAATGATTCCTGGTCTTAGAGGAATGTCTTATGAGGAGAGGTTAGCGGAACTGAATCTGCTTAGCCTTGAGCAAAGGAGACTAAGGGGGGATATGATTCAGGTCTATAAGATTCTAACGGGTCTGGATGCTGTTCAGCCAAATGACTATTTCAATATTAGTCTAAATACTAGAACTCGTGGCCATAAGTGGAAATTAGCGGGAGAACATTTTAAAACAAATTTGAGGAAGCACTTCTTTACACAGCGTGTAGTTAGAGTATAGAATAGTCTTCCTGCTGGTGTAGTGGAAGCTAAAACCATGGGTTCCTTTAAATCAGAGTTAGATAAGATTTTAACAACTCTGAGCTATTAGTTAAGTTCTTCCCAAACGAGCTTGATGGGCCTCCTCTCGTTTGTAAATTTCTTATGTTCTTATGTTCTTATGTTCTAAAATTGCCAACAGAGGATTCTGGGACTTTATCGAATTTAATAATAACATCCCATGTCGATTATCAAAATGGTTATATTAATACTGCTACTGCGGGGTGTGGTGCAGGCATAAAGAAGGTGACGATTCACTTGCAACTCCATGACAAAAAGAGATTTATTAAACCAAAACAGAAGATACAAGGGAACCAGACAACACCAAGAACAGAACTATGAGAAAGCAGGAGAGTACCCACAGGAACATGAGCAATGACAGACTGAGGAGCAGGACAAAGGCCAGCATTTCACTGAGCCCAACAATTGACAGGGGGCAGGTGTGGCTATACAGAATTAGGGGCAATGAGGAGCAGATGAGGGCAATTAAATCAATTAAGGAATTAAGGCACAGAATAACAGGTGGAATAAATTACAGACACAGGAACTATGGGAACATTGTCAAATACTAAGGGCAAACACTAGGAAAAACTAGGAACCCAAACACAAGTAGATCAGAATTAAACCTGACACAAGTAAGATAAACCAAAACAGGGAAGCAAAGATAACTAATAAACACTAGGAAAACAGAAAACCAATTAACAAACAAGATAGGTGAAGCTAGTTCCAGACCAGCCACAAACCCAAAACTGGCAGGTTCTCATCCTCTGCACACTCAGCCTATGCAGCTGTGCAGTTGTGCAGGGAGCAAGGGCAACACGCTAGGGACTTAGAACTAAGACAGAGGGAACAGCTTGGGCAGTGACACCTGCTGGCCAAACAGGGACTGAACACACAGGACAGGGATGGACGGGCACCGACCCTTACAAAGACACTCATTTGAATCTGTATTGAGGTAGTTAAGACATAAAGTGCAAAGTGATGAATTATTACTCTATAAAAAAATAAAAATAATGAAGTACAAAACATGACAGTTTTCAGCCAGGTTATTATTGGAAATCACTCTTTTTTAAAAAGAATAATAATAATTTTAAATCCCAGAATACTACGTAGTGAGGTGGTAAGGGGTTAAAACTGCCCATCTCTTGCTGAGAAAGCATAGCCCTCAATGTAGGAAACAACGGCATCAGTTTCCTGTTTTACCAGGGGGTTTAAAGGGCTGCTCTCCACCAGTCAAACATCATAGGTAGGTTAAGGAAACCAGCCCTGTCTGGTTTTACTATTGATCTTTTAACAAAGTTTGTTAGCACGTCCTATTCTAGAGGTGTTTCGGTCAACAAACAGTATGAAATGAAAGTCCGTATATATGCATAAACATCCATCTCTGTGTAGCTTATCCTAGTCAGGGTCACCGAGGAGCTTAACATGGTGGACACACACTTGGGGACATGCAGTCACACACTATCATATTCAATGGACAACAATTAAGCTAACTGCATGCTTTGGGAAAACAGGAGGAAACCCACACAACAGACCATATATATATTCCAACCCCTCTGACTTCTCTGGTATGTGTGTGTGTGTGTGTGTGTGTGCGCGCGAGCGGGTGTATGTATGTGTATATCATTTTTAATTTGGACTGGAAAACCATTGAATTATGAATCTCTGTCTGTGCCTTTATGACTTCTTGCAGTAACTTTCTCTTTTGTTTTCTGCAAAGCCCAATATCATCATTCAACAATAGTAAATCCCCGCAACACTCACATAAAACTTCTTCAGCGTTTCAGACAAAACATTATTGTTTATTATTATTATGTTCGTTTTAGCATTCTTATTTTCACGCGTACGATGCTGTTCAGGCAACAATCCCCGAGCTTCCTGCTCAGGAAGCCGGGGAAATACGTCCTGCGTCCCAGCCACAGACCGCCAGTGCATGTCTCCTGCTGTAGTATGAGATGCCTGATTGAGACGTGAGGTGTCTGAAAGAGTTCCTAAGAATGCAATGAGGCTGAGAAGGTAAACCCATCCCAAAAAAGAGAGCCTGTATTCGCGCAACTTGACTACTGTGGTCCGGACTGGATTGTATTCCTCTCTGAGTAAGTTATCATCTATTTATATACGTTACCGTTTAATTTAGCCCGCATGCACTGTACTGTGGGCAGCGGATCATTATTGTAAGAAGGCAGTCCCAAAATAAACGGAGGTGGGATGTGTTTCTGAAGATGTGTTATAAATTGCAATTTAAACACAAAAGGTTTTAACGATTATTTATTGACGTTTCTGTTCATTTATTGTATATACAATGTATATACAATAAATTCTATATGTGTTATTTTTGTATATACAAGTTTTACTTTTGTTTCAGTCTTTCGGAGTATTTGGTATTTGTAGTCTTAGTTTAAATGTTACATTTGATGCTCAAAACGAACTTTATTATTTTCGCGAAACCTATATAATAATTAGAATGCGACCATACATTCAATTACAACGATAAAGTAGTTCTCAATTAATATTGTAATATTTTTGTTATGTCATGAAGATTTTGTAAGAAATTTAAACATAACGTTACGGTCTGTAGTCTTTTAAAAACAGTGTCTGTTTCCAGGTTTGTTTTTAATTTTCTAATAATGATCTTATAAACACGATGATTATACGATATCCTCCTTTATTATTATTTTTGCTGTAGTTGTTGTTTCTATTGCGCTTGTATTTTGTATTAATTGTATGAATTATAATATTAGTATTAATATATAATATTACTGGCAATACTACTGCTACTTCTATTACTAATACTACTACTACTACAGCCACTAATACCACTAATAATAATAATAATATATTTTTTACTATTTTATTATTTGTATTTATTTATTTATTTATTTATTTTTGCTGGATAAAGAGTTGTACACAAGCGAATTTGTTGACACAACATTTTTAGATGATAAATAATACTCTGCCCTAAATATAGTTGATGGCCACGATTAGTCATTCATTGTTTATCCCCTTTAGTATTATACAGAATGGGGGGGGGGAGGGGGGGGTCACAGCACGTTGAGGGTAGATAGTTTTAAGCCTCATAATAATAATATAATAAGGGAATAATGGCTGCTCTGTACAGTATTTATGTATATCATGTACTGTCTTTGCAAGGCTTTAGCACTTATTGCTGTTTTTATGTAATTTTAAGCCAGTTTTGCATAATGTTTTTTTTACACTGATTTTCTAAGATTAAATTATTGATATTCAACACATTCCAAAATATCATTTAATCAGAAAACAAATAAAATGTTAAAATAACAACTTCAAGGTGAATCACTAGAAGGGACATTGTGACGTTTGTTGCCATTTCAATGTTGTGTTTCCAAGCTGTTGCACTGGCTTATGGGTGCGTCCCTAACATCCTTCCCTCGTGTACTTCCTGCTTGGAGACTATTCTTTTGACTTTCAGTAGATTTCTTAGTAATTGGGGGGAAAAAACAACACCTTAGGAGTGGTGTGGTGGCTCAGTGACCGACATTTTAGACTCACACCTCCAGGGCTCCAGTGTTTCTGCGCTTTGCTGTATCTGCTGTGGTTTTTAATGTTATTTCTGCATTCATATAGGTTTCCATTGGTTGCTGCACTTTCTTACAATGCAGTTATGATGTTTTGCCATCTCTAAATTGTATGTACATGTTGGTGTGTGTGTGTGTGTGTGTGTGTGTATGTGTGTGTGGTCTGAAAGAGACTGGCATCCCACCCAGGGTGTACCCTGGCTTGTGCTCTGTGCTTCCTGGAACACGCTTGCTATGACAGGAGAAGTACTTTAGGCAAAATGGAAGGACCAACGCCTTAGGTGAAAATTTTTATTAAAGCAAAGAACAGAATGCAGACATTTATGACACAAAGAGCAATTTTGCCATCAGTTTCTATGAACGATTGAACAGACTTGAAAGTGCCCCCTTAACCCCACTAGTGTGCACAACAGAGACAATAATAAAAGAGTAACAAAAATACTTCACGCTGATCAGGAGTATTATGTTGTATCATGTGGTATTACAATTTCAGTTTTTGGCATTACTTACTTGCTTTTCTTCTTTTGTTTGCAGGATACAAGAAGCCACCCTAGATCCACATCTGGGATTCTCAGTCAGTTGACTTAGAAGCTGCTGCTGTCCCTGATGGCAAGACACATGAAGACCTGGGGTCCCAAGCCTCCTGTTGCACCCAAACCAAGGCTCCTGTATGAGCCAGAGGAGAAGCGCTTTCTGCACAGCAGAAGAAGTCTCCACCAGTGTAGGAGCGGGGGCCTGATTCTTTCTGAGGACGACCTGGACCAGGAAAATGAACCAGGAGGCTTTCGGCGGGGATTAGAGGAGCAGGTTCTGGAGGATGCTGATCAACCCCAAAATGGTGAAGATCCAGGCATGGAGCTTTTCTATAACCTTGAAAATAATGGAACTGAGGAAGAGGGGAATGTGAAAGAAGAGGAAGAAAAATTAAGCAAACCTGTTAGTACTGAAGCTGCTGATTCTGAAGAAGGACTAAAACTTTGTGATATTGATTGCAGTATAGGGTTAGTGGATCCAATGGGGACAACTGACATGGAATGTAGACTTGACATTGAGTCAGAGAGCTGTGGAGCTGGGGAGGCACTCGCTGACACTGACGGACTTTTGGAGTGTGATATAGCTTCTTATCATGAGGCAGCAGATCATTACTCATGCGAGACTAAGAACAGGAAGGTGCCTGAAAACCTGGGAACGGACGAGGATTACCCTCCTGGGGAAATGCACCCAGCCAAGATCCCAAATATAGAACTCTGGTATGTTAAAGATGGTGACAAGTCTTCAGATCATGAAGAGTGTTGTCCAAGATGTCCATCTCCCTGTAACCAGTTAACTGAGGAAAATGAGGACTCCTTTGTTAATGCACATATTTCTAGACTTCCATCTCTGTGTGAGGAGTGTTCCTGTAACGTGTTAGGTGCAGCATGCAACCTGTGTGAACATTCAGAAGATATGGATAATCAGCACAATTCTCCAACTGATGGAGAGCTAGTGAACGCAATGTACGTGCCAGATAATTATCAATATTCAGAGGGGGCCGAGGACATTGCAGGGCCTAATTCAGCCAGTGATACAGAGTCTACCACTGAGGAGGTTAATGACATGGATTCTGAGGGGGAGAATGAGGGCAGCAGCAAAAACTGCACAGGGAAACAATCTGCTGTCTCGGAGGAACAGTCAACTATGAATTCCATTACCAACCCAGATGACTGCTATGAGAGTCACCCGAACCAGGATGTGATTATTACAAATCTGTTCACTGAAAATACACCAGAGGGAATAACTCTTCCTCAGATCCTTGAGGAAAAGAGGACTATGGATAACTGTCATAATGAAGATGATGACTCTCTCTGTCAAGATGAAGAGGATTTACATCAGATTGAATGCGTTTCATCTGAGGACTATGTCGAAATAGGTGATGATGATGAGGATGAAATAGACACAAGAGAGAAAAAAGCAGCAGACATTAATTGTAATGAAAAGGGTACTGATGCCTGTTTGGAGGAGGGTAGTATTCAGTCTCGCTACAGGTTGTGTTCGATCTCCGTGCCTGTGGACATGGATATGAGAATTACCCCTGAGCTCACTGACACTCTGGTCTTCACAAACACTGCTGAAGTGTTCGGGGAGGACATTGACATCGAGGGCCACATAGTACCTTACTTTGAAGATACTGACAGAGAACAGGACAACATTAGCGACGAGCATGTCTATGAGGTGGCTGGGCTTGACACCGAGGGTGAAAACTTTCAAGCTGTGGACAGAAAGAATATTGTGACCAGATCTCGGTCTCTCTCTGGTAAAGTACCGGGCTGTGTACCTGAGACTGTTCCTGAGGAAACAGGCGCTGAGGAAACCGGCAATGAGTACTGCACTGTAGCCTTAGCAAAGAGCAACCACCCAGGGACTGATAGTCAACAACATGAAAAAAAACGAATTATCCCTTCTTGTAAGCCACAACACTTCATTTTTTACCCCCGTTCCATCTCCGTCGAAGGAAGAGACTTGACCATGTCTGTCTATGAGGATAACATTTCATTAGGAGAGCAAGAAAAAAGAAAAAATAATGACAACATCTCATTGCCATTTGTCATGGGATCATCAGGAAGCTTCTCCCAAAGAAATCGGCTCCCCTCCAGTGGCGTGTCTACCCCAACTTCCGTGGTGGACATCCCACCTCCCTTTGAACTGGCTTACATCACCAAGAAGCCAATCACTAAAAGTTCTCCATCTCTTCTGATCGAGAATGATTCAACTGAAAAGCAAAAGAAGAAGTCCTCTTTTAAACGCTTTCTGATGTTGAAGTTCAGAAGGAAGCGAGAGAATAAGGTCCATTTAGACGTGAATGTCTCCTCCTCCAGATCGTCATCTGAGTCTAGCCACCACGGGCCAGTGAGGCTCCTCGATATGGACAGACGGAGTGTAGGAAGCTCCCCGCAACCCGTTTCGCGGTTTGGGAAACCACAACGTTCCTCAGACTCGCCCACAACTTTCCTCTTCTACAAGGATGGCAGGAGAAAAGGGGGCCCAAAGACATTCACTAACAAGAGGCTTTCCCGGGTGGAATCCTTTGAGGACCAGTCCAGGCCTCCATTCACGCCTTTGCCATTGATGAAGCCACGGTCCATATCTTTCCCTAATGCAGACACATCTGATTATGAGAATATGCCGGCCATTAGCTCGGATTACGAGAACATCCAGATCCCACAGAGGCCCACAGGAGTAGGGATGTTTGCAGAGTTCTTTGACGATCCCTGTCGTGCGCTTTCTGCCGCCAACGAGAACGACGGATACGTGGACATGAGTAGTTTTGCTGGGTTTGAAAGCAAGACTGAAACACCTCAACAAGAACCTGACAGGTACTATGAATCTTTTTTTATTGTAAACATTTAAGTACACATACCGTGTTTTCTTTCATTGGACAAAAAATGCCTCTAGGTCTTAAGGGTTATTATGAATTTTCTCTGGGATACATCTTAATTCAAATGGAATCTCTTCTCTGCCAAAAGAATTTCCTCTACATTAGCTCTGCCCAAACAAGAATTTTAATTTAATTGTAAACAAAAATTACAATTTCCATGGCGTAGTCCTCACTATGTGCTTAACGGAGATCTATTCAGGTAATTTTTTTAATTGAGCCCTTTCTAGCATAGTTGCTACAGTACGTATCTGCCTGCTAAGTCCTCCAGACATGTGGGAGTGGAGAATTAAGTATGCTGGTAGGTACACTTACATGTAACAGACATATGTACAAACATACCGTAGCAAATACTACTGCACCAACATTGCTGTTAATGGAAAGCTATAGTGAAGCTAAACAATACTAAAATAATATCCCTTAAGCCTGCATTTTAACCCTAATAATGAGGGGTGCATAATTTTATGCATGAGAAGAAATGCAAGAAGTCTGCATGACATTATAACGTGTATATTTTCTGGATCCAGTAGAGCAACAAGTACAATTTATGCTCTCTAAATCTTCCTGTATTTTCTGGTTGCAAATGCAAAAGCTTTGCTGTTGCCACTAGTACTTTTATTTTTCATATTGTAAATTTAGATGACCATGAATTGTAGGCAGCCATACTGTTCTCATAAATCGCTTTCCAAAGGGTGATTTATTGTTGGCCTTTCATAAAATAGCCTCATGAGGATTTTTCAATAACATTTAGTGGCCGGGGTCTAGTTGTTTGGTGGTCCTGTTAAAATGCATCGTAACACTGGCCGTGTTCACAATTGGTTTCTAAAATACATCTTGGGATATTGGATCACAATTGACAACTGATGACCACTTCTGTTGAAATTTGATTACTGCCTACGTGTCAATTCAGCTTGAAGGTCAAATGGCCCTGTGCACAGTTACTGTGACTTCCTTGTCAGGGACGCATCAGGACACATAAGCATTTACACTTCACAAGATGTCTGGTCAAATGCGTCCCAGACCTCCTCAGAAAGTGGTTTGAGTGATCGGATCCTAATGCGTCTTGGTGGTCGTTTACGCTTATCTTTAGTGCTGTCCACTTGTGCTCTGATCACCCGACATGCATTTTAAAACCAGGTGTAAACAGGGCTACATTATAATGCTTATACTGCAAAAACTTGCCTAAGGGCCCTGCTGTAAGCATGAATATGATCTGTGATGTATAGAAATAACATAATCTGAAATTGAAGAGTTGTGCATTGTCCCCCATAGTCCATTGCTTAAAAACACTTTAATGAATATGGCCATCTCATTAAGTTTTATAGTTATTAGATTATATACAGTCAATGTATAATATAAAAATGGCCGATCACATAATATTAAAGTGATTTATTGCTCAATTCTAGTTTTGTTTGGAATGACAATAAACATGACATTTTGTGGTTCTTATAAATAGTCTCTTGGAAACATATTCCACTCCTGAAGAGATATAGCTTTCATGAAGTCTTCTTCTTCCTCCTCTTCTTTTGTAGCCTACCTTTTTGTAAAAGGCCTCATCTGCTCTTTGAATGGCTTGTTATAGATCCATAACTACAAATACTCGCACGTTTAGTTACAGGTCAGACCTTTATGTTTTATAATAAAAGCTCAGGAACCTGAAGATGGTAATACACATTTTTACTTGGTCCAAAAATCAAATATATATTATATATTTATTATATTAAAATATGAAAGTAAAAAGAGCACTTGTACTGGAATCAGTATTGGTATCGGCAGTTGTGTATTGGAATCGGAAAAGAACTGAAAAACTGTGGATCGGCCCATCCCTAAATTTCACTGTTATTTGAGCTATTTAAAGGAATATTAAGCTGTTTCCAGTGGTTGTTATTTGTGGTACTTGTATTCAGTGTATGGTTGGCTCTATCCTGAATGTGTTCAAGGGTTGATTTATTGTGTCTGCATTTTCATGTATTGCTCAGAATTCAGTTTTGCCTTCAGTAAAATGCTGGAGTTCCAAGACTGCAGTCACTTCTTTCTACAGTATAGGGTGTGTCTGCTATCTTCTCATTTAAAAAGAACTCTACTGTTAAACATATTAGGATTTCTTTTCCAGAAGTAATTTGTGCTATTATATAGCATAGAGGCTAATGTGTTGTGTTTGCATGGCCCGAGGGTAATTACCACGGCTGTACTGACGAATCTGTAGTGTCCCTTGCAGAGAACATGCAGAGAAGGTGCAAATTTCATGAAAATATTCAGGGTGGGAATCCAATGTCCGGGGCTAAGGGGGGGAGGCATTGATTATAACAATTGTGCTTCCCAAACACACACACACACACACACACACACAGACAGGCACATAGATGAACTGAGGGGGACCTACAGTATCAGTGTGGTCACCGGACACCCCATGCTATGGGCCTGCACACACAATGGACAGCAGCTCACTTAGCCACGTGTTTTTGTAATATGGAAGGAAACATACACAAACCAGGGAGAATATGCAGGCCTCAAACAAGCAGAGCAGGGGTGGGACTCAAGCCAAGGAAGTGTGAGACAACAGAGCTATCAACTGATCGCCCGTCCATTTTTTGTTTTTATGCTGATGACTGTCAACTGTATCTGCCAATAAAGCTCAAGAACCCTTGCAATCTTTCTGCATTCAGTGACTGTCGGAGGAGATAAAGGCTTGGATGGCCAACAATTTTTTAAAATTAAATGTTTTAAAAAATCAGAGGCTTGTCGTCCTAATGGACATCTCTCCCTGTCATCAGTCGATTTCGGTTGGTTCTCATTTCATGTTATGCCAAATCTGGGCGCAATTTTTGACTGTGAGCTCAGTTTCGACGAACAGCTAGTTCCGTTGTAAAGGCCAGATTCCATCAGCTCAGGATAATGTCTAAAATTAAACCACTTCTCACCTTTTCCACACCAGAATTGGTGCCGCTGTGTCCTCATGACTAGATCACTGTAACTCATTATATTCTGGGTTGAGTCAGTCTTCTGTAACAGTTAGACTACTCACTGGCACTAAGTAAAGAGGACACACATTTTAGCTTCTCTCCACTGGCTCCCAGTGCATTATGACATTCATTGTTGGATTTTATTATTTGCTTTTAATGCACTACATGGACAGCCCCCTTCCTATATCACTAATCTGATCACACCTTACTATCCGCACAGATCACTGCGCTCGTCCTATCAGCGCCTGCTGGTGGTTCCACACTCATTAATCATGCTTTTTAAAACCAGACTGAAAACCCATTTATTTTCACATGCTTATAAATAACTTGTTTTTTACTGTGTCCCTTTTATTGTGTTTTATTTTATTGTATCATATTGCTCTTATAAATTATCTATTGTTGCACAGCACTTTGGTCAGCCTTGGTTGTTTCAAAATGCTCTTTATAAATAAAACTTACTGACTTACATACTTTTACTTACTAAGAACAATACAGCCATCTATCCATCCATCTGCTAAGTGCTAATCTTGGTCAGGGTCATGGGTTCCTAATAATAATTCTTTAAAGTGATGTATGTATAGTTGCATAGACAGAATGAACAAGCTAAATCTGAACTGCAACAAACTGCATCCCTATATATTTCTTTCACTTGTATCCTACAGGCTTAACTGAAAAAGTCTGGAATGGGAGCCTTTCTTAAAGGTTACTGCTGGGATTTGCAGCCATACTGTGGAATCGCAGTGGAGTGCAGTTGCTTTACTGGTTTCTGTGTTAAAAGTGAAATTCATACATCATTAAAAATGACAGCGATTCTTTCTAGCTTGTGACAGCTGTTTCTTATAAAATGGAAGCCTTAGGTGATGCAAAATGCCTGAAGAAATGAAAATATCTGTGGTTAATATTATATGTGAATGTTGCTCTGATAGATTTGATCTCTGATCTGCACCAAGAAAAATCTTTTCTTGAAAAAGATGGGGCGTGATAAACAGAAACTGTAGGTTGGAGAGTTTGACCACTTTCCCTGCTTGCAGGAACAGACAGCACAGTTACTCACACACTTTACCAGTCAAACATTTTTACACACCAAAGGTTTTTACCACTTTTGCATTTATTTCATAAACTGCAGGTTTTTTTTCTTAAGCATTGGAAAGTCAAGTGAACAACTACAGTATAAATAAAAATATAAGTCAAATAAAATGTTTCCTTTATAACATGTAACAATGCATGTCTAACATCTTTTTAACTGGTTGTGTGGTGATGGCATAGTCAAATTCTATGCTGTCCTTTAACTTTAAATGCACTAGTTCACTGTGTATGCCCATGAAACAGAGCAGCGTTTAAACAGTGCCTCGAATTTTCTCTGCTGTTGTAACTGCTAGAGGATGTTACTTTGATGAAACAAAGATATGACATTTTCTTGCTAATGAAGGCACTCAGATGGTGAACATACTGTAAATGTATTTGTTAGCAGAGAAAATTGAGTGAATTTTTGGTAAATGTTATGTGAGTAATGTGCAAATGTATAAAATCTCAGTGTGTGCAAAAGCTTTTGACTGATAGTGTATGATCCTCAGAACTAGGTCAACTGTTGGCTGTTGCTGTCTGGAAAAGGACTGTGGTCAAATACTGGTCAGCTGTGAATGTTACTGTTTCTGGAGGAGACGTGATTACTGCTCTGCACTAGTTGGATTGTGCTCAAATGCTACAAACTTTATTACATGTCGGTTTCTGGAGAATATTTAAAAGCCGGTCGGTAGGTATTGGTTGCAGGGGAATGTCTGAGCGTTGGGTGTTACATTAAGCATAACTGGCTGCTGCAGGCTGTGCACGGTGCCTGGAAGTAGAGCTGGGCGTGAGGCTTCCAGAGGTCAGCCAGAGCAAGGTTACTGCTAGGGCGCCACCGGAGAGGAACCGCCCTGCCCGCGAGCCCCCGCTGTGCTGTTTACAGGAAATGCAAGACAAGGGCACTGAGATTCATGGCGAGATGGACTGGGTGCACATGGGCTATGAAGTTCCCAGACTGGCTTACGGCTGGAACAATGAGCATTGTGCTGCGGAAAGCCTGGCTTCAGAATACCCCAAAGTCGTAGTTATTGCCGTTCTCCGCTCAGGTGTGAGTGGGAAGATTCAGACAGGCTGGTACTGGTCCCAGTTTCTTTAGTTCTTTCTCAGAGCAAAAGCTAAACCCAATTAATGAATTTTACTTTTGAACTG